AGAGAGAGAGAGAGAGAGAGAGAGAGAGAGAGAAGGGGGGGGGGCACGTGCCACTTCGTTTCTTCTTTGCCTTTTGCATTCAAGGAAATGTTGCAAGATGAACGGCCAGCATTATGGCTCCCATGTCAGTGCTACTCCCGACAAGTCCCCTACGCGAAGAGCAACTGCACTTGCACACATAGCATCAGTGGCAGTCCTGTGGTTCGTGGCGTCTTCCAACAACTTCCCCGGGCCAATCATCAATGACATCATCGGAGCCCACCAAACTGAGACTCACCCACACGCGCATGCACTTGCACACATAGCATCAAAACTCAACAAGTAAGCACGGGGCATACATGCAAGATCGCTTGATCACAAACAAATTCAGAGAACACAGCAAGCAAAGTCTGAATCGGAATCTTTGGCAAAAACATCAACGGGACAACTGACAGGATTTTCTCAGAAACGTTCAGAGTTCTTGCGCAGCACAAAAAAAAAACGATGCTGCAAAGGTAACGGCTTCCCAAACAAAAGACTCACAGATAAAGTAAGAAAACCGCTTTGATGGTATTCCCTCCGCAGATTTCAGTCTGCTCTCAGGCTCTTCTTTTTCTTATTGTGAAAGAAGCGGCATATGATAGGGCGGTTCATTATGCTTTTTGTTTCTTTTGTGCGTTTTCCTTTTCTGTTTTTGCGAGCGAAGCCGCAACGGGTCATCTAGTTAGTATAATGATAACAAATGAGAGCATGCTTGGGCTTTGAAAATCATAGCCTTGACTGTGAGTGGAAATCGCACCCTCAACTGTGCATGGTGGCTTCTCACCCTCTGTCGAACATCACAACTCACTGAGATCAACACCTTGAGTGAGTGTGGCTGAACTCTAAATACTGGCCAAGGCAGTTGCTCTCCACGTCAACACACCACAGCATTTTCCCAGACCTGGTACAAGGATCAGTACAGAGTGCCACAGAGCGACGTACCTTTGACGCACACAACATGAAGACAAACCACTGTCATTCAGAAACCATTACAGGTAACCACAACTGCATTGCAACCACTGCCTCTTTGTGGATCACACAGCATGTGATTGCTTGGCTACCTGGCGGAATGAATTGAGAGCAAGTGTGGCTCTGTGCACAGGAAGTCCAAAATAATCTCTCTTTCATGCCATTCCAATAATTCTACATGGCTCGCTGTTCACACTTCAGCTGATATGGAAATGACTCGTGAGCCACAGAGAACAAATGACAGAGTGCTATACCTAGAATAGCCCCTATTCCAACCCCTGCTTAGGGGTCATACCTAGCATCATGAACTTACACGGCTTCTCTCAAGCGATTGCTGATGAGACCTTAGATGCAGTTGTCCAATATTCTCTTACTTGCTCAAGATGATTTGGTATAGAAAATGATGACAATGGGTCAGTCCCCTTCTGTTTGTAATTGGTCAATCACTTCCCAGGCGGCCAACCACCATCGGAAACATCTTATTCACAACCAGTTGTGGTGCCAAAAAAACAGCTTAGTTCAGTAGTCTTCTTCCCTATGCTCCCCTGCAACCCATCAACCTTTGGTTATATTGACCAGCATATGACCACCAGTTGCCACAAGATGTCCCCCAAGCTGCCACCAAAGACGAGCTACTCCAGGGACAACCAACTACATTCCAACTCTGTTAAGGTCATATGAAAAAGACCCTTTAACATTGTCTTCAACATCTCAAGCCTCATGACTGCAGACTTTGACCTATTGATAAGCCTGATGAAGAGCATTCCGAAGACAGATGCAAGGAAGCAGCTCACAAACTTACGAAGGACGAGATGGAGCTTAATACAAGCTTGGCTTGGCAGCCCCTGGCAGCCATTGGGGCTGCCAAGCCTCGCAAGCACAACGAGATTTCTCTCAAGGGGTATGCATATATATATATTCCTACATAAACGCACATCCCCATCATGCCTGCTCAAAAGTCCAATTTTGCCCATCCAACTCACCAAAGAGAAAAGCGTCCTGGACTGCCAGCGTGTTCAGATGATTGCAAAACTTGAAATACTCAAACAGCTCACCAGTATCCGGAATCGTCCGAAGCACACCCTCTCCGGCAAGTCAGCCTAAGAGCTCTTTCCTCTCTGTCAGAACAAGATTATCCGATTGGCTGTCACCTCCTTCAGCACATGAACAACATCATCCACGGTTATCACCCAAGCAACCAGAAGCCTCACTACTACAGCGTATTCCAGCATTCTTCGCCAAGACATCATCCAGGCCCACCTGACTCAACCGCCCACGTTTCCAGTCAACCCCCCCCCACTCCTGAGGTCTTCCATTGCACTTCATCAAACATGACACACGCTCTGGAATTCACAAGAACAAAGATGCTAAACAAAAAAAAAAGGCAATCAACATCAGAGGAAAGGCAGAGTCGTACCAAAACATGCCCAACAGGGGTTGTGAAGAGCCGCAACAACTTGGCACATCTTCAGGCCTGGCAAGAATAATGACAAGATCACACAGCAGTGTGAACAGCGCACACAGAAGAAGTGCATTCAGAGGAGCACGCATACTCAAATCCCACACAGAGGAAAGATGCAGTTGGGATTCCGAGACAGTGGAGTTGGGAACACGTAGTGGTAAAATACGAGGACATGCAAAGCAGCAGCAAAAAGGCACATATTTCAGGCCGACCTGGTCGGTGTGCACAAGGGATGAGGGGAAGTGGGTATATAGAGTTGGTCTTCAGAGAGCTCCTGACAAGGTGATGTAACTCAGGAGAAAGGTGAAAAGAGTGCCTTGCACTGCCACGTACACGAGGAACCCCCTCTACTCCTCCTCCCCTCTGCCAGGATGCAAATGCGCAGCTTTGAATCTGCCTCCAGTGGCCAGCCCCTTCAGAGACGCTGGCTTCCTCGCATCAACAACGCCTTCGAAACATTCGTCTCCCCAAGCAAGGGTGAACATAAATCCCTTCCAGCTCCCCCCAATGCTGCACTGGATAGCATGACTACCTTGCACTTCCACATGCATGCCTGCAAACTTCAGTTCAATCACCGACCACCCTGCCGTTTGCACGATGATGTGCAAATGCCTAACATTCTATGCACACTGATTACAGCCGTATAACATTTCGGACTTGAGAGGAACAGGCAGAGAAAACACTCCTTAACACCACGCACCGCAGAATGAAAGCAAGGAAGTTAGAAAGAAAGAGCCAGAGGGCAAAACCCTCAAGAGTAAGAATCCCACCTCGGAAACCCTCCTTGGCCACAGACCAATTCCTGTGTTAATTGAGAATGCCAGGGATTGCAAACCCCATTTGCCCCAGGATGCTTCGGGGAATCGGGGATCACTTATTAACGCTGCAAGACCACAGACACAGCTATGCCAACTCAGCAGTTGAACTGAATGGATGAGGACCTTTGTGCAGCCTGCATGACAAATAAACATTACAAAAGGCCAAGAGCTTCGACAAAAGCACCCGACTAGAATGGAACTTCGTCCATATCATCAAAACTCATGCCACCACCTGACCTCCTGTCTGCCCTCTCACGACCAAGCTCTGCCAAGGAAACACCCCCTCCTACTTTGCCTCCCAACCCAACACCGCTCTGTCCCATACCTAGCAAACTCCTGGTACTTTGTTCCCCTGATTTTGCGCCCTCAATTCCTCGTGGCGGCTTCTCACAAGAACCATAGGTCTCCATGCACTGAGAATTGGGCCGTGCTGAAGAGAAGTCGCCGTAATATGTGTTGGCCTCGCTCACCGGGCTCGTGGCTGCAGTATACCCTCCCCCCCATGAGGCTGCACGCCCATGGTCTCTCTCACTCCCTCCCCAGGACGTACTCTCTGCACTTGTTGCTGTGGTAACATGACACATGGACTCGTCCAACAACCCCGTCCCTTGTGTCACTTCGCTGGAACTAGTGCTCCTCATCAGCATAGCGCTCCCTGAGGGTAGCACAGACGATCTTGAGCTCTGAGAGGCTGGACCTGAAGATGACAACGGCGGTGACTTCCGACCCATCGATTGTGAAAGAGGCCTTCTCCTTCCCCCTTGCACGCTCCCAATTCCTCCTACACCGCTCATCTTTTCATCTCCTTGATCCGTGACAACACCACCTTCCACTCGACCATCCACGACATCCCTCGATTCTGAATCAGCCTGTGTAATTGGGACAGGTGCAGGAACAAAGAACGTTGGTCGAACAGACCCACTCAGTCCTGAGCCAACGCTAACTGGAGGTGTCAGAAATGACGAGGATGCGAAGGTCTCACCACTTCCCACTCCACCATCGAGGACGTCCTTCGACTCTGAATCACTCTGTCCTGTTGGCACAGGTGCTGGTACAAAGAAAGTGGGTCCACCAGATCCCCCTACACCTGCTGAAGCTGGCATAAATGGCAGTGGAGTAAAGGTGCCTCTGCTTGGAGTGACAGTTGCACCGCCTCCCTTGTTGAATGTGTCAACATATCTGGACCGGACTCCTCTCCGTGCAGAAAACATGTTTGGCCCAGTGGGTGGCACTGCTGGGATACCAGGCCCTGTTGAGGCACCACTTCCCGCAGAAGATTCTGAACCCTGCAGAACCCCGGCTCGAGGTGGAGCATTGCTATCACTTGCTGGTCCATTTCCTGGGGGAGCCGAAAGTGCATCACTCGGTGGAGAGACTTGCCTGCTTGCAGTATCTCCTGGCAGATTGGTCGAAGGCATACTTTTGACAGCAGGTACCGTAGGTGGCGGTCCAAGATCTGGAGGCTCATCGGCACTTCCATCATCATCACGAAAACGCCATGTTTTGAGTTTCTCATCGTATATAAACTGGTTCTCGCTTCCCATATTTGCCTGTATGCCCAGTCACAACATTGCAAGCACAGTGTTTTCAGAACTTTCCAGACTCCTGTCAAATATACAAGCTCAGTTTTCATTTGCCACATTCACTTGTCGACCAAAGTACAGCACCATGAAGTGCATCCACAAAAGGTTGGAATATACCCTCCTAATTGTAATCAGCAGTACGAGAACGTCTACATTGCCGAGCTATGGGTAAAATGCCAACAGCTGCATGCCTGTGTTTGGGTTATACACATTGCATTCTACAGTGCCAGCCAGGCAGCCTCAGGATCCACTTCAGGACTGATGAACAATACGCCTCAAGGGGACAAGCAAGACTCTAAACAATGAAGAGTGAAGAGTGGACATTTGTAGAAACAGTGAAGAGTGAGAAACAGAAGTCACTGCATAATGCCGGGTGCACAAGGATCATTACAACCAGGACCATGGCTAACAACAGCTAAATCACGCGACTGTTAAAAGGCATGATTGCAGGTGACCAGTAGCTGATATGCTTTAGAGGAAGGACATTCAGGTAGGACTTAAAATTCGTCTCAGATTCTGAAGCAGATGGAGAGCCCTGCAACCCAGGCAAGGACTCCAGGCTGAGCAAACCACATAGATTGTTCCCCTTTGGGAACAAAGGTTAAAAGGACAGCGGATAACAAGGCGGTCATCACACATGCGTTGGCTGACCACTTCGATCAGAGTATTAGTCAGCTGGGAGTTTTGGGAACTTGGATATGATTCCACAATTGCCTTGGAGGAGGAAAGCTTAAGAACAACACAAGGATGCGCAATGGGAGGGCCACAAGCCACTCACAGATCCCAGACTTTCCTCGACATATATCAGTTACCATGACTTTAAACTTTAAAGTCAGAGATATGTGGATCTGATTGGGTACACTAACCAAATAAGGGGACCTAATGCCGCATGCGAACAGCAAGACCAAGGCAGGGAGATTGAGAGGAAAGTGAGTCAGCAGAAGATACTGCTCATAGCACATCGTGCTAAGAGACCCCAGAGCAAGCTGCGGCACAACAGTTCATAGGTTGAATACCGTCATCCGGACCCCGGATCTCAGGAAGGGGGATGCCACCTTACCTGGTGTCCTCATTCTTTGAAAAGAGAATGTGCAGGAAATGTTTATGGGGCCTGTGGACAGGATACTGTCTGGGCTCAGAGTACTATGGAGAACTCACAAAACGCTCTGCCCACAAATGACCAGGCGGCCATGTAGGTGATAAAGTGATGCAACACTCTAAGATATTCAGAAGCTGCACTCGGGAGGACCATCATGCATCAATACAATCTGGATTTTGCCGCTGGAATGAATGCCTTGCTGAGATTCTCGGGTTCTGCTGAGTTTTCCAAGTCTGTATGGGTGCGTGATCGCTGGTCTTTGTGCTTGTCTTTGTGCTTGTTGGTCTGAGTGTGTCTGGCCCGCAAGGGCACTTGTTTGTTTGGCGGCCCCGCAGGGCCGGTACTTACCTGTGGCCTTGACTTCAGGGTTACAGCAGGGAAAACACTCAAGTGGCAGGAGTAGGCCCGCGACACTTGGAGCAGCGAGAAAAACACTGTGGTAGGTAGGCCGGTACCACTCAAGTAGTGGTAGATGTGCCGGGAACTGTACGACGAGCAGAAGAAGACAAAGTTGGCATTTTAAGAGGCCCAGTAGCCGGCAGGCGAGCTCTAGGTGGGTACCAGTCCAGGTACCCTGAGTGTAGGGCCTGCACATTTCAAGGGACAACTTCTATCACATGGACAGCCACACCACTGGGCGCCTCAAAAGGTCTGGAAATTGAGCAACGACTGCTTCAATCTCTGGGGGCGATTTTACGCCTTCCCTTTTCTCAAAGACAAAAACTAGGTACATGCCGTCCTCGCGACTCTGTTTATTTGGTGTTGGCGCGGCTATACGAATGGGGTCTTTTTTTGTTGCGGGTTTGTTTCACGCCGCGCCGTAGAAGGTGTCGGCCATATTCGACCAGGTAGTGTATATTTCCATGTTCCAGCGAAAGATTCATTCGATTTTGCTCATCCTATCGATGGACATAGCATGACGCCAGCCGCAAGGTTGGAGACTTATCTGCTCTCGCTCTCTCTCTCTCTCTCTCACACACACACACACACACACACACACGATTCAATACGATTTTGCTAAAAAAGTGGCAGCATATTTCCACGTTTTAGCGGAAGATTCATTCCGATTTTGCTCATCCCATCGATGGAATGTGTGTGTGTGTGCGAGCGTGTGTGTGTGTGTGTGTGTGTGTGTGTG